TAAAAGAAATCTATTGTACATTACACGAAATTAGGTAAATACGTACAATAACAAAATTTGTTTAATTAACACATTTGATATATTTTATTTGAATATTTTTATTGTAAAATTATTCAAATATTTGGATAGCTTATTTTTTATACTAAAAGATTATTAATAAATTCGAGAAACTTTCGTAATCGCGCAAATACCGTAAAAAAATTTTTTACATAATATAAAGGTTATTAAATAAACGTGAATCAAGAAAAACACGATGTTAACCCAATAATTAGATATTAGCTTTTTACGTAAAATTTGTCGTTCTTTTAATATTATAGAAAACACAAGTATATTCGAAAATAAAATATTGCGAAATATTAAACATTATCAATCATGGCGGAAATTAAAATCTATAAAACAAAATAATTTTCTTTGATTATCGTTTTTAATTTAATGTATTTCGAGAATTTCGTATCGCGTTAAATATTTATAGATTACGATTTATTGATTTTATAATAAATTATATTGCAAACAATTGCGTTCTTTTCACGTTTTTGGATGTGATCGCTGTCTCGACGAAGAAGCCTTATCGCTGTCCCTCATGTCAGGTGGACGCTAGCAAATGCGCGGTTTGTACTGGCGGAGAATCGAAACGATTTTCATTGCGGAAAGTTATTTCTCGCCGGTTTTTGTGAGATCTATCCGCAACGCTTAGTTCGGTGCCTCATTGAAAATTGAAAGTTTCATTACAGAGTAGGAATTAAACCCAGGTTTTCGTGGCGGTTCCTGGAAACAATGTTTTGGCAATGATTTAACGACAATCACCCTACATTGTTTGAAATCGAATTACAAAATTCATTATACTTTGAGAGAAGATATATTTTCTCTTTTTGTTAAAAATGTTCTTCCATTAATATCTTCCTATTAATGTCACTATTATTTTAATAATGAAAATAATAATTCAAAAATGGATATAATAGATAAAATTCACTTTTTCAAATATAAATTTAATTGAATAAGTTTTTGCGCAAACTTTTTTGTGCAAAATTTTTATTATTTGAAAAATTATGGTTACAAACAAGTATATTTTATTAATTAATTTTGAATTAATTTTATTTTTGGTCTCTTTTAAGAAACCACTTGCAGGAATTACTGGATGCTCCACTATCTTATGTATATTATAATTAGTTTATTTTAGATAAGAGTGTACATATAATAAAATACATGTGCGTAAATTGTGACATATTTGAAAAACTATTTTTTAATATTATTCTTAATAATATATTAGGAATGCATGATATAATATAAATGTGTGATTAATTAAAAAATTCGAGACAAATCGGATGGGTACTCTGATATCAGTAAGATATCTGCAAATTATTGTTACGTGCTAAGTCTTAACTGTTAAATGCAACAGAAAAATTAATTTCTTGATAATCTTTCATTTGATGTTGCTAAATATTCAAGTTGAATTTTTTTTTAATCTTGCTGTTATCAGATTTGATTTGTCTCGAATTTTGAGCAAATTTGGTACCCTAAAATTATTATTATTCACACATTTAATCAAGCAACGATAAAAGCGCATGTATTTCATTTTACCTTTAAATATATTTGATTGTAACATGTATATAAAAACTATTATATCCAGTCATTTTTTAGTAAAAAGAAAAGATTTTTTAAAATGGAAGAAGATGTTTTTTTACGCGAATTTTAATATTATATATTGAAAATGATAAGAAGGGTAACAGTCGTTAATCCGCTGCCGAAATCGCTGTTATCGGGAGTAGTCGAAGATCGAAGTAGGGAAGATCGGGGTTTCGTTCTTTCTTGTAGAGAAGCTTCTGATGTTTAATGAATCACTTAATTATCCGTTGTGGGTCGATTTCGCGAGATCCGAAATAGAAGAAATAAGACAAATTGAAGTCGCTTCCCACTTTTAGGATCGTTCTTCTCTCTGTCAGATATTAACCAGCGTGTCACTCGGCAGAGGGATTTTGATCTGGTCTAATCGTTGGGCCAGTTATTCTTCATTGAGCGTGGCGATAACGCGATTATTTTAAGGCATAAGGATATTAAAGTTTAGCCTGTTTGCAATTGTTCGCAGAACAAGATATATATTTTTCTTTTGATCGCGAAATTTACATGAAATTGTATATTTGAAAAGAAATCGACTATTAGATTTTGCATCCGCGTTTGATTCCTTACGTATATTATAATATTGTGCAAATTATATGAAATGCGCCTCTAATGTTGCAATATTTTTATTGTCGCACAAAATGATAATAATTATATTGCGCACGTTGTATTCCGATTATTATAGAAATTATGTGTATTGTGGTTAAATATTACTGTTATTATTAATTTATTTATTTATCATATATATTCGCGAAATTTAAACCGCGAAATTTAATTTTTTCTCTGATTTAATTGTTGGGTAACATCGAAGTTTTACTTATCTTTCCGCGTCATCAAACATTTCTTTTAGAAAATCTTATAAAATGAATGAAAATTTCGCATTAAAATTACTTTTTCTTAATTGAGAGGAACACAAGCGATAAATTTATTAATTATTTTTTTAGTCGCGATAGATTATCAGCTACGCTAATCTAAAAATTTTCTAAAAATTTCTAATCAATTTAACGTTGTACGTATTGCGGATATTTTTTTGTAATATAGTAAAGTAATCTATGTATATATTCTTTATAACAATTTTTTATGTATTATTTTATGTATTATATATAATATATATTTTATTGTTATGTATTACACTATATATTTTCAACGAAAAATTTTTTGTATTATCTTATGTATTAACAATTTTATGTATTATATATATATATATATATATATATATATGTATTATGTATATATATTTTATTATTGTTATACATTATATACTTTCAATTTGATTGTATTATTATATATTAAGTTATACTATTATGAAAATGATAACAAAATTATGTATAAAAGATATTTGTAACAATAGAGAATAAATCTGGAATAAATGTCGAAAAATGGAAAATATATCTTCATTTTTCGAAAAATTATTTTACTTTCCGAATTTTCCATTTTTTTCTTTCTATATATATAGTATTATTGTAAGTCTAAGAGTGTGTGTGTGTGCTCTCAACATCATTATCCGTATTATTGAAAATATTTACATAAATTCGAATATATATTTATTTGATGTTGATACCAATTTATAAATCGTACTATAATTATAATATATATTTTGTAATATATTTTTATATGACTGCAAGCTATGTAATTATGCATTATAATATTTTATAATTATATAATATATGTATATTTTATATATTCTTTGTATTATATTTTCTATTTGGAAAATTTGAAAAACCTAGATTATATTAAAAGAAAATAAAATTAAAAAATTGTACCTCTTCGATGGTATCTCCACCTTAACGAAGGCATTTGCCGGGTGAGGAGGTTTGAGTACTCTAATGATCCGGAGAGCTATGCCGGCGGTAACGTAGGCCGGTATTCATACAATTTGTTTTTATATCTAATCATCTTAAATATAATCTTAGATCGCATCTTAAAATTCTGTTCAGTCTCAATGAAATAACAAACATTTTCTAAATTTTACTTAAAACGATTTTAAATATAAGACTGTGTAAACACCGGCCTTAATTACTGGTAGGGTCACCCATGCCGGATAGGTCAAAGAGAAAGAGTCAGACTAAGAGAGATACCGTAATTATAATTATTATATTAATAATTATTAATTAATTATATATATTAATATATATATATATATATATATTAATATATATTATATATTAATTTATATTATACATTATTAATATATATTATATATTAATATATATTATACATATTAATTATTAATATAATAATTATATTATATTATAATATATTATAATACTTAGTTAATAATTATTATATATTTTGAATAAGATGGAAGAGAGTAAAAGAATGATAAAACGATAAGAAGAAAGAAGCACGAGTCCCTATAGTCTTGGGAATGCGACAGATCACAACATTGCAAAGATTTGAAGAAGAAGATGCATCGGATAAACATATGTAGTAATTAGGAATAGCTTGTAATTAAGTCGATTAATAATAGTAATAATAATAGTAATAATAGTAATACTTTTTAATTATGTTACACTTTATAATTTAGTACCTTATATTATATATACATATAAAGCATTAAGCATTAAATATTTTGCTGTTATGAAAATTGTAATAGAACAATATAAAAAATTTGCTACATAAAGTGTAACATTCGAAAGCATTCACTGACGAGATACTATTAAAGATCAATGATTTTACAAGATTTATCGTGACACAAAACATTTATGTATTTATGTATTTATGTATATATATATATATATATATTTTTTTTTTTTTTTTATATTTAAAATAATCTAGATCGCGTCTTGAGATTCCGTTCAGTTAGTAAAATAGTTGTATTTTCCAACTTACTTAAGAGGATCTTAAATATAAGAGTGAATTATGAATGCCGGCCTTAGTTAGATAGGGTTCTCATACCGGACAGGTCGAAGGCAAAGAGTCAGACTAAGACCGGTATTCATAGTCCGATCTTATATTTGAGATCGTCTTAAGTTCGAGCTTGAAATGCTACGCAGCTATTTGATTGGTTGAAGGAGGTCTTAAGTCAACCTCGGACCAGACTTAAGACGATCTTAAATATAAGATCGGACTATGAATACCGGCCTAAGAGAGATATCAAAATTATGTATAAATATGGCAATGAATATAGAAAAATATTTATTTCATCTTTGAACATTACATTGGAAGATTACAGTATTTTTCGTGCATTGAATAATTTATTTACTATCAATTTATATACATGAGTGTCTTGTTATACTCTGGTGCTACCGGCATTTCATGCACATAGCACGGAACGAAACCTGAAATTGTGCACATTATACCCTCTGAGAACATTCATGAACTTTGGCTTTGTAGTTTATGTCCACATTTTCAATGTCCATAGAGGGAGTATCGCTTTCAGGGATTACCTAAAAGCAGGCCATGACATCTCTCAGTCTTCTCTCTGTGTCAGCCATTTTACTCCATCAAAGTCTAGGAATTTATAATTTTCGCAATTTACTTATCTGCGATATCTATCTATATTACAAATAATCCATGGTTTAAAAGGCATGATTATTTTGAAGATGCACACAGTAGTGTGTGTCGTTTAGGTTATTTCTATCGTGCATCTCATACGAAAAATTATTTTTACATAACAATTACAACGCGTATTACATCATTCGTTGTAAAAGAAAATTTTACTGTCGATGCCGCCAATATAATCTCGAATGACCGTTTAAATTGTCATTTAATAAAAAGACTTGAACTATAACTATGAATAAATTATCGTCGATTATTGAACAAAATGTGCGATTGCAATTGCGGCGTATAAACACGACTGTTAGAAAAGAAAGACAAACGCCATCCGAATATTGTTTGCAATTAGTTAGGTATTTGTGCTTTATACTAAATTATATTGTACATAATAAAACAAAAATTGTACAATTACATTTGTCATATACAGATGTATTTAAGTAATAATATTTTAATATCCATGTAATAGAATAGTTTGTTAGTCGATCTCCAAGATTATATAACGTGTTAGTTTTTAATTAACATATTTTAAAAGTTTATGATTTCAAACATTTTTAATTTTTGGAACAAGTAGACATCAATATTTATTGTTAGAGAGAAGGTCTCTCTTATAATTCTCTTATATCTTCTATATTTTATTTTATCTCTGAAATAAAATAATTTCTTGCAGAACATCTCAAAGTAATTATGCTTGAAACGTGCAGAAGTAATTTACAGTCATGTTTACACGTCTCATCTTTCTAGGAGAAATGATTATGAAAACTTTCTGTGTACATTATTACTTCCACATAATATTAAATCGGCGGCATTTGCTATACGCGCGTTTAATGTCGAAGTGGCTCAAGTGGAGGATCAAGTGAGCGACAATAAGATAGGAGCCATGCGATTGCAATTTTGGACAGATGCTCTAAACAATATTTATAACGATCAACCACCCAGGAGCCCTGTATCGCTGGAACTACACAGGGTAGATGAAAATACGTAAAATAACGAATACGATCCCCGAGATTGTACTGGGGATCAAAGCTAGGAATTAGAGACCTTTCGCATATCTTGCAGATCCTCCAACAACACAAGCTCTCTAAACGTTATTTTAAGCGCTTGATCGACGCTCGTTTAAATAAATTAAGTAACTCGATATTCATGGACTTGGAATCGCTCGAGCAATACTGCGATTATATCGCCTCGTCGATATATTTCCTGTTACTGGAGGCGAACGGTACGACAAACGTCAACGCTGATCATGCGGCCAGTCATTTCGGCAAAGCGCACGGTTTAGTTACTTCGATACGATCCGTACCGTATAACGCTCGAAGACGAATTATGATTCTGCCCCAGGACGTTCTACTGAAGAACAGCGTCTCCTCGGAATCCGTCTTCCAGGGGCAGTCGAGCGCTGGACTTAAAGACGCGGTATTCGAAGTCGCGTCTTGCGCCAAACAACATCTAAAAGTGGTACTCATCATTACTCGATAAATAATTAATAAAATTGCATGGAGTTTAATTAGTTATCGATCTCCTCGATTCCTTTGTATATTTAAACACGTCTTGTATCTTTTGCTTGAAAGAAGTTTTGCAAACGAGTTTTGTGCGAGATCTTTTTTTTTGTTTTAGGCAACGTCGCTTAAAAAAGCAATGGGGAAAGACTTCAACGCGATATTTCTGCCGGCAGTTTGCGTGGAAAGTTATTTAGAGGAACTACGAAAAGTAGACTTTGATGTTTTTCACCCGACATTACAGAGAAGAAAGGGCTTTCTCCCGTTAAAATTATTTTGGAGAAAAATGTGGTCTTAGTAATTAAAGATTGAAATAAGTTTAAGGTAGCGTTTAATGTGTTTCATCAATTTATTATCTTCACTATACCCAAAGTAATTGTTCTAAAAAATTTTGAATTGTAGAGGAGATCTAACAAAAGAAAATAGGAAAAAACTGATTTTAAATTCGCATGACGCAACGAATTCTGCTTTCAGATTGGCTAATTTCTTGTCCAAAAAAGAATTTTTTTTTCAAATTTACCAAAAATTGTATAAATTTTTATTTACATCTGATTTTTAATTTATATTCTTGCAAAAATAGTGCAGATTTCAACTTTATAGGAATAAGTTTTCTTTATATTAAAAAAGTAAATTGTGATGTTATAGCCAACGAATGTTTAAAGGTTGTTGCCGCTCTACTTGATATACATATTCCGCGTTTGATAAAGTTTGTGCGTCGATATATTATTTTTGATCGAATTTATAAATCATCGCCGATCGATTAAATTACGTAGAGAAATAATATTGTATATTAAAGCAATTTGGGATTCAGCAAAAATTTGGTAATAAATCTGGCGATAACAGTGATATAACAAAAGCACAGACAAAAAATTACAATAGAATAATCTGATTAATTACAACAGGTAACCTTTATTCTTGTATCCATTGTTATATTTCCGTTTGTGTTTCTATGCAATTTGCGTCTTTCTAACTTGTTTCTATTGTTGATGCGTTATTTCTGCAAAATATTTTGATAAATATCACTGCTGAGGGATGAATATTTCATTATCTAAAGGTTATAAATTTCTAAAGTCCTCTTTTCGGAGAATAATTTTTTTTTATTTAATATGGATTAGCTTCTTTTAATTTATAATAATGGATTATAGAACAGAAACTGGTACCTTTCTTTTTTGTAGATCAAAATGTCTACTACATCACAGAAACACAGGAACTTTGTGGCAGAGCCAATGGGAGACAAACCTGTAACCGAGCTCGCTGGTGTTGGAGAAGTCTTGGGAAAGAGATTAGAAGCTGCAGGTTTTGATAAAGTAATATTTGTGTATTATTTATGAAATATTTAATTATTAAAATATTTGCAATGAAGATACTGCCATTATAAATACAACAATCTATTTAAGAATGTATACAAATATATAAAATTATTTTGATTTACTTATATATGATTTATTTATATATAGATTGAAATAAAATTGAGAGTTCTACTAAAAATTGTGACAATAGCTATTAAATTTTAAAAGTTTTTTTAATTACATATAATTTGATAATTGTATTTTCTGCAGGCATATGTAGTACTAGGACAATACTTAGTGCTAAAGAAGAATAAGGAATTATTTCAAGAATGGATGAAGGACGCATGCTCTGCAAATGCAAAACAGTCAACAGATTGTTATCAATGCCTAACTGATTGGTGTGAAGAATTTTTGTAAAGTAATTATGACAAATTTAACTGGAATATGTATGTTTATTTTAAGTACGGAATATTAAGTATAGTTTTATAACATTAACTAAGTATGATTTATACTTGACTAAAATGTATGTTCTTTTAAGAGCAGAATATTTAACTATATATGCAATTTTACAATATTAACAAAATGTAAAAATTTACATTTTATTAATATCATAAAATTGTAAAACTGAAAGTTTTATTTTTAGGAGAGTATACATCTTAGTCAAATCTGTCAATTACACCTACTATAATTATAAACATTAAGGAAAATTATTGCACTTTAATCAGTACAAAAACTAAGAAAAAAATGCAGCCTTAAGTATAAGAATATTGATAAGTTTAAACATATGTCAAAGTGGAAAAAAATAAAAGCATTTATTCTCTGATTATGTATGTTGTGTATGTGTGATTTATCTCATGAGTATATATTGCAAAAACATATTCATATTTACACCAGTATGTCTAATTTAAGAGTTTAATAACATTCCTATGATAATCTATACAATAATTATTTTTTCTGTTAAGCTTAAAGGCTATAGCACACACTTTCCATAAGACATGACAGTAAGGTTTCGACCAATCGCGTTGCTCAATTTGGCTGTCCGTAACCAAATTGAGCAACGTGATTGGTCGAAACCTTATTGTTATGTCTTATGGAAAGTGTGTGCTCTAGCCTTAACTGTGAGTACTTTCCGATTCACGCATGATGCGCATGAAGTGACAAATGTATAATATGCGTGACATGAACTATACATTTTCTGTCACATGCGTGAATCGGAAAGTACCCTGTACAAACGCCAATAGTATTTAACCAATCAGAATAAAGGAATCTTTTTTCATCCTGATTGGTCAATCAAACGCTATTCTATTCTAGGTAAATTTTCGAACACACCCAAGAATACTTCACAAATACACAAATAGTAATTTGTCTATCTTAGTATTTTTCTGATTCTATGAGTCTAGCTCATATTGTATTCGTAGTAAGTTTAATGTCAATGCACTGAATTGTTTACAAAAATTATAGATTCGATGATTAAATATTTGTATACATATTTAAAGAGAACCCACATGATATTGATCATCGAATCGTAGAGATTTTAACTTTAGACTTATTCAATTTAGTTTCAATAATGAGAATCGCCGTAGAAGGTTGTGCTCATGGCGAATTGGATATTATTTATGAGACTATACAGGAGATTGAAAAAATAGATGGAAGAAAGATAGATCTGCTTATTTGTTGTGGGGATTTTCAAGCTACTAGAAATTTAAGCGATTTAGAATGTATGGCAATATCGAACAAATATAAAGATATGTGTACATTTTACAAGTGAGTTTACTATTATCTTTTCAGCAAATAAAAATGCTCATTAAAAATGTTCAATATGATTTACAATTTATGTTTAAAATAATTCATACATTTAACTTTAAAGATATTATTCGGGTGAGAAAAAAGCTCCAGTGTTAACCATTTTTATTGGAGGAAATCATGAAGCATCAAATTATCTTCAGGAACTGCCATATGGAGGATGGGTTGCACCTAACATTTATTATCTTGGATATGCAGGTGTAGTACAAGTGGCTGGAGTTAGAATTGCAGGACTTTCTGGTATTTATAAGAGCCAACATTGGATGCAAGGGCATTATGAAAAGCCTCCATATTCTGATAACACTTTACGGAGTATATATCATATTAGGAATTTGGAAATCTTTAGATTAAAACAGGTAAATATTAATTATAATGTAGAAAGAAACTGATGGAATTAAAGTGTAAAAAATTGATAGAATTATATAAATAATTTAATAATTAATAAAATTATAATTAACTATATAATTTTAAAATAAGGGATATTTGTAACAGAATATATAATTTTTTTTACATTATTTTCAGCTTTCTGGAAAAATTGATATTTTTCTATCACATGATTGGCCAGCAGGAATAACAAAATATGGAGATGAAGATGCATTGTTAAAACGAAAACCATTTTTTAAGTAAAGAACTTTTATCTTATCAAAACTTCATGAATATTGTTTCAAAATTTTATTATGTTAAAATAATAGATAAATTTTAACATTATGTTAAGAGATCTAATAATCATTATATTAAATTTTATATTTTGAAAGAGATGATATAGAAAGCAACACACTTGGTAGTCCTCCAGGTATGGAATTGTTGGAACACCTTTATCCATCTTACTGGTTCTCCGCACACTTGCATTGTAAATTCGCTGCTCTCGTTCCCGAGAAAGGAGGAACACGAGTAACGAAATTCCTAGCGCTGGACAAATGTCTACCAAAACGGAAATTCCTTCAAGTATTGGAAGTACGTTCTCAGGAGGACAGTCTGATACAATTGGACTATGATCTTGAATGGTTAACGATATTATATCTGACGAATCATTTATTAAGTGTCAAGAGCAATGTTCAATACATGCCTGGTCAATATGGTGTCGGTAGATGGGCATACACACCTACTATGAAAGAGAAACAAACTGTATACGAGAAATTTAATTCTAATTTACAAATCCCTCATAACTTCACTCAAACTGTTAAACCATACAATCCGTATGACACACACGTTCGAATTGAGCAACCACAATTATTGATAAACGATCAAACTACTCAATTCTGTCAGATATTGGGCATCGACGATCCCTCTGCTTTATTACAAATCATTGCGAGCTCTACTCTAAAAGATAATAGCAAGTCGAGCGAAATATCGGATATGGACACGTCCGGCGAGTACATGTCGGAATCCATGGAGATCTCGTTTCAGGAAGAGAGCGTGCTTAATTCTACTTGTCAGGAAAATTTGACGAATAAATATTTCGTTGATAACTCACCAACGAATTTGTTTTCAAAGAGTAATAATGACGAATGTCATAATTCAAATTATGTAGATACGAGTAAAAGCGCTTTGGATGATGATAATGTTAATATTTCGACTATGTCTGTAGATTCCGCTTCGATGAGAGATAGTAAGCAATGTTGATTAAATGCTCAAGAAAATAAAGAAGCAAAAAAGATTTCGAGATGATGTTTCTAAATAATATCTTGTTACAGGTAATGGACAGTGTGTACAAACCGAACCAAATTGCAAGAAATTTAAACGTCGGAATTATTCTATATATTCTAATACTCTTTAACTGTGATATAGTGTTTTCTTATTAACTATTTGCATCAATATTTAATATTGATTGTCACTATTGTATAACAGACTTTCTCTTTTGTGTTATAATCTAATTAGTAAATAATTAGTATGTAAATAATATTAAAATTTTTTTATAAAGAGATAAAAAGAAAGAAAATTATATCATGCTAACAAAAAATTGGTAAATCAATTATCCATTTTTATTTTTAATTTTTAACATGTTTTACCAACATTTATTATAGTAATGTGAGAGTCTTTAGATTGTAAATATTATGTACATTTATTTCCCCTCATTAGATTTCTTATTCTATAATCGTATTTTAAAATTTTTATATTGTATAATAAACAAAAATAAACATAAAAATATTGTAAAAGAAAAATTGATCAGACATAATAAACATAAAAATATTTATTATGTCTGATCAATTTTTCTTTTACAATTTTATACAATTCGTCTAAATATACGACAATTTCCAATTATTCGTAGTTTATGTTCATGAACAATTGTTTGATTAATCGATCGAGTGTTGCCCATCCCTATTCGAGTGTTCGAAATGTTTCGATTGGTAAACATGCTGAATACTGCGAGACATGTCGATTTGTTTACTTTTGATTGTTTTTGATTTATTCGTCTGCTTATAATCATTGTGATAGATCAGTAAATAATGGTACTTGTATATCTTCTCGGAGAATGCTTTTTCGATCATTGGAGATTGCTTGTGTGCACGAAGTAATTAACATTAGAATGTCACGACGCTTGTAAATATGGTGGCGAACGTGCTTCGAGCAAAGTGTCAATTCTTCCTTATTGTCGACTATCTTAAACGCAAAAATGGATAAGTTGACTATCATCTCGGGAATATTGTTCTTGCTAGCGGATATCTCTGCCATAATTAGCATTGCTATGCCAGATTGGATCATCACTGATGTCGGCGGTAATTAATATGCCACTTGTTTTTATTTTCATAAAAGCAAGATATTTTTCTCTACTTTTCTCTATTATTATGCGCGGTGCATTATTGTTAACGAGATATTTTTGATACTTGTTTTATGACAATGATAAAATTGTTTCGAGATATTTCAATCTATGTGATTAATCAAAATATATGAGAAACTATACATATATATTATTCAGATATATACTAGATGTAAAATATACATATTCAGATTTTTACTATATATACTATATTTTTATTCAGATTTTTACTATATTTTTTATCAATCAAAAAATATTACATGTATAAGAAATTGTACACATCATTCAAATATAATTTTATTTTTTTTTTTAACAGGTGATACAAGACTGGGTCTTATGTGGTCATGCATGACCTTGTACAATAGACCACAGGTTTGTTACAAGTCAGATCTGCAATCAGAATGGTTGATGGCATTGATCTGCATATTTGTAGGTTGCATTTTGATAACAGCAACCATAATATTATTGGTCATTTCACATTGGGATCGTAGTGTCATTCCTTATGCGCGCTGGGTAGGATTTGGTGCAAGTATGTATCATAGAAATACATGATATTTAATATAATAAAATGTGCATAAATACATTAATAGAAATGCAATATATAAAAAGTTATGAAATAATAAGTTATTTTATAAAATATGATTAATAATATATCATATTTTATTTAAATTATATCTATTTATATTTATTATATTTTATTTAAATTTTAAACAACAAAAAGTAGTACAGCTAAAATTACATTATGTATAATAATTGACATAATTAAATTCTCCAGTGGTGCTATTCTGTCATGCGGCAGTAATATTTCCCATGGGGTTCCACATTGATGAAATTGGTGGGCAACCGTATCAATTGCCTAATTCGCATCAAGTTGGAATTGCATATATTTTATTTGTCCTAGCATTATGGATCACAGTAATCTCTGAACTCTTTGCTGGCAAAGTTTGTCTGCCACATTTTTAGCATTGTTCCATAGTACAAGTATTTGTTAATTATATTCTGTTGACAATTAGTCTTATATTATTTGTATATACTATATACTTATAATATCTACCTTAATGATATATAGAATTTATCTTATAAGGAACAATGTTATATATGTATAACATTATACTTTACAAAAGTTGCATGAAATTTTGCTACAATTCTTATGCCATGTGTCAAATAGATTAAAATATAGGAAAAATAATTGTATATATTAGGGAGAGGATTTCTATATCCTATATCATTGAATTTCCTTAAGAAAAGAATTCTATATGTTCTAGAATTTTTTTAGTGATTAATAATACAATAAGATTTTAGATAAAAGAAAATCTAAAATAAAGATATAATTGAAAAAGTACATATATATATATATATATATATATATATATATATATATTTCTTATAACTAAATTTTTGTATAACATATATATATATAGTTTTATTTTTTGTTGTAAACTTCAAATATATTTATTTACAAAACTCGAAATAAGTGAATTATTATAATAGTTTAATGCATAGGTTACAATTAGATTCAAAACTTAGAATATATATATTTCTTATCTATATTATACAAACATATATACTAGCAAATGCATATGTAGTAAATATATATATATATATATATATATATATATATATATATACTGTAAAATTAATGTTAGGCAACTAAAACTTTTTTTTAATTCTGATTATAATAATTTTAATAATTTAAACATTATTTAACACAAGATTGTGTTGCAAATAAATGGCATTTTATTTACATATAAAGCAAACAATCGGATTATAATTACAAAACTATTATATAATATTCAAACATAATAAACAAGTTTTGTTGAACACTTCAGTTTTAAGAATTAATATGTGAGTATCACATATTTAGGAAAGATTAAATATATACAAAGTATTTAAGAATCTTACATATAATCTTCCTGACAAGTCTTTGTTTTGCCAGCTTTTTAATTATTGAGATGATTTAAGTGATTTAATGAACAAGAAATCTATAGAAAAATCTAGTCAAATAAGATACATGCATATGATTTGTTTTATACATGATTTGAAAATATAAAAATAGTAACTTGTATATCGAAAGATGACTGGCAAGTTGGAATTTATTTTCACTGTACAGGAGGATCATATAAAAAAATAATCTACATATAATGTTTACATCTCTCTCTCTATATTTTATACACACATTGTCATAAATTTCAAAAATCTCTCGCATTTTTGATTTCCTCTAAGAAATTGGAAACCAGTAACATTTACAGTTATCTTATTCGGAAAAAAGAATATATTTATATATATACACAAGACACTCTTCTAATATTTCACAAACTGCAACGTATAAAGCATTTATATATATATATATATTAAATTATATATATATATATATATATATATATATATATATATAATATATATATTATAATATATATAATATTATATATATAATATTATATATATATAACGCTCTTATATATAGATCCACTAAAAAATGTGAACTCACATTGGAACACTCGACGAGTCTTAGCTTTGCTATATTTATTCCATGATTTTAGGGAAACTATATATGTATAGAACTTGTAACAACAATCGTAATAGGAATATTTCATGGAAGTACTATAAGAGTTTAATGTACGTTTATTCTTTCCATGCTATTACGGATAATATAAAAACTCTCTGTAATTTTTTTTTGTAGATTTCTATTTAAATACAAATATCAACAAGAACTTCAAAGTTATAAAAACAGATTTATGTCATTCCATTTCAAAAAATTTACACGAAAACTTTCGTGAGCGAGATAGTATATTCCATTCCAAATATGGAACATAGAGCTCTTGTACACGTTAACGCGTTATGCGTATCGAAAAACGACGCGATAGCTATTCGATTTGCAGCTATTCTTCAAAAAGTGATCACCTCGTCGGGCCACTTTTTGAGGCCTTTTTGGCATGCATAACACATTGACGCGTCCTGCGTGTAAGAGCCAACAATTTTATACAAGTTTTCGTATTAAATTTCTTAATGGGTTTTAGTACTACTTAATTGATTACCGATAGTGTCACATCTTCGATAATAAAGTAGATAAGGTACTCGAGGAGATGTGGGCCTCAATACATTACTCTCTGGAACACTCTTCACTGCACTGTCATCATATCTCACCCAAGATCCATATCCTATGTGAAAGGCATCTGTGATGTAATGACCTTTGGTAGCTTCCTTTCCATCATGATACGTAACTGCGAATAATTTGTACTGTTTTTGCTTGGGTCCTAGCTTTTTCACAGTGTTTGGTGATAAAAATTCTGCAAAAATATGAATATTTATGTTATGCTTATCATCAGACTATGGAGATTAAAATAGAATAGATTAAACTTATATTTTTAGTATACTTACTGCCATCAATTTTTAGATCTACAGGAAATTCCATGCTCTTCAATATTTTTGAGCATCCATTGGAATATTTGTCAAATTTGTAAACAAACCATTTTAAATGTAATATAAGAATAACAGGTAATTCTTCCAAGGTAACTTGTTTCCATGCTTCTATCTGTTGCCTTGTTTTACTACATGTCATTCCTTCTACCTGGTCCTTTCCAACGAGAATTTCAAGAGCATTTTTCACGGATTCAGCTTTCTATAACAAGTTATACATCGGGTGTTAATTATATTTAATTTTATAAATCAATTTAAAATGAAAATTCTTAGTATACTAACTTGCACATCAAGTTGTAGCGTGAAGAAGGGTTGTACGTTATCTGTCGGTTGTTCTCCTGCTCTTGATACCCTAGATCGCAATTGTCCTCGAAATATATCTGACAATGGCGTTCTTCCAAACTCTGTACAACGTGTGACAGCACCTTTATTTTTTGGTCCCATTACCTACATTGACATAAGAATAAAAATGTATGCTCCATATATTATGCATATGGTATTATAAAAAACAATTTTTAAATGTGTATTTCTATATTGAACATTTTACCTGCCACTCCTCTTCATCATGACCACAATTGACATTATTCTCCGCGATTGCATTTTGATCATTACTGACCAATTTTATCAACTAGAACAAATTATAATTTACAAATTATAAATCTCTTGTTCATATTTTTATAATGAATGGAATATATATATGAATGGAATATATATATATATATATATATATATATATATATATATATATATAAATAAATCTATACCTCTAGCATCTCGTCGTTTATACCATTTAAAAGACATGATAGGAACTCTTCTGCATCTTCCTGCCGTCCTTCCACAGAAAAGGCACCAGCAGCAGAGGTGTGCTTTAACATTGTATATATATATGATGGCTCAAAAGCAACACCACTATGTATATCTATAACTGTATCTTCTCCTCGTTTGTTATGAACTCTGTCTTTTCTAGGCATGCGAGCAGCCTCTGTCAAAGGTGTAAACTCGCGAACAAACTTGACCCTTTTTAAAACGAAACGAATAATTTAATTTTCTTATAATATGTTATTGTTACTATATGTTATTTTTGTAAAATTTTTTTATAGAAGTACTAAAAAAATATTGATTTTACTATTACTTACATGTTATCAATCAAGGGTGTAGCAGAATTCTTGCCCCGATTTTTAGGAAGCGGCATAGCTTTGAGTAGATTATAAAATGGTGGACAGGCCAGTAAAGCTTGCAAAATACTATTAATATAACAATAATTACTACGATTGGTTAATCCCCTTGGTAATAAACTCACAGTTTGTTTATCCATTTGATAACTTGACAAAAATTCTGAAAAAGAACAAAATACTTTTAATATATATTTATAATAATAATATATATTTATATTAATATATATTTATATTAATATATATTTAATAAATATATTTAATATATATTTAACATAATATATATTCATTTATAAATTTTATTATAAATTTTTAAAAAAATTTAATTTTTATATTTACCACCTATCCTATATGAATTTGGATCATCGTAACAATTCTGCAACATGCCATTCTGTAAGGTCTTATAATCGTTTACTACATTTGATGTGCTAGATGAATCATTTTGATTCTTTGGTGTGGAATTAAGGCTCGTCGATTCCTTTTGAGTTGGCATTTTTGATAAATTATTCTGATCAATAATATGTATCGTCGGTTTACAAGATGTAGGTGGTTGTGTTTCAGTGCTATCTTTTTTTAAAAGACTAGCATAAGATCTGGGGATTGTAGTCGTAGATGATGTAGATGATGTTGATACAGACATGGGCGATGGAGCTTTTGGCATGACTGAGTCATTTGATGTGGCTGCGGAACCATTCAATATTTTATGTTCAACATTATTATTATTTTGGGCATCTTTTAATATAACATTCTCCTCAATATTTATTTCATTTTTCTCTGCCTTAGAGACAGATTTAGGCGAAGTTTTTGTAACAATCGTTGTAACGTTGGATGCAGTTTCATTTTGAAATATCTTGTTCATTTCACCACTTTGATTCATTTCGACGTCATTGTTAGTACTTATGCATACGTCGATTTGCATGCCATTGCAATTTTCAGTCCATGCAACACTGTGTGGTACTTTTACATCGTTCTCACTGCTCGCAATAATTTTTTTATTGGCAGTGTTTTCGTCCATATTGACAGATTCTGGTGTAGAATTATTTACAATGGTGGCAATGACATTAGTTTGCAAAGAATTGTGGTTGTCCTCTACTTGATGACATATTGGTTTATCGATGTTTGTACTTTGTACATGTTTATCTTGCACTTTGATGATTGGTTGTTTTATGGTTTCTTGGTTTGATTGTTCCAATGGCACAGGTTGTGATTGTTGCATACATTTCTCCATCTGCGGCGGATTTGGAGGATAAGTCGGTTGTGCGTGCGAATTAGATGAAATTGGTTGTGCATTCGGATGTGGATGAAGGATCGATGAATACATCGGCGGTGGATAATAGATTTGTCCAGCAGCTACCTGGTGCTGTTGCGTAGAAACGGAATGATGATCGGAGTAAATGTACATGATTGGGTGTATTTGTGGGTGAAATTGCGCCTGATCGCCCATGTATCCTGACTGCATTTCGTTAGTGGAATTAATTGCCCGATTGTAGTCTCTTCTCATACCTCTGCTCCGATTGTTGCGACGTCCGTTCTCCCTACCATAATTCACATCTTGCATCTCGACTCCAAGATTGTATCCAGGATGATATGTCAGTCCTGACACGAATGGCATATGCCCATTTGTAGAAACATTGTACATTGATGCTTGCCAGTCATTACACAATTGTGTCATCATCTGTTGCGAGTAAGTCTGTGTTGGTGGCATAGCTGTAAATGTGAGAATTTTTACAAAGCTTTCTTAATGAGCAAATATGGAATTTTTATATTAAAAACCTATGTGTATATATAATATGTACATATATATATATTTTTTTATTTGATACTATATTATATATAAAAAAGAAGAGAAACCAAAATCATTAAAATAATTCTATTTAGAAAATTTTTTTAGAGTTATACTTTTTTAATTTCATATTGTATAGAAAAGTCTGAAAAAAATCCAAGAGATATAAGCAGCACATTTACCATTATACCAATGTTGTTGGTGAAATGCTGGAACTTCTGTCACTATAGCAGGATTAACATTACTGTTATTATTTTCTGTAGCATCCCATGGTAGTTTTAAAGTACTGGTAGTTTCAGATCTAAGGATGGTTAATATTTCATGTTTGTCTTTGTCAGTTAAATCATGTAAATCTAAAAATTGAAGATCCATCTGAAAAAGAAAAAATAAGAATGTGTGCAGATATACATAATATAAATGTTAATGTAGATTATTTTTAAATATCTTACGAATATGAATATCTCATAAAAAAAACCAGTTTTGTCATTCTTCTATCTTTGTTTTTATAATTGTATAAATTAATAATCTATTTGTTTCACTGCATTAATTTGATGTTAATAAGAAAATATGGACATGCGCATAATATATATTAATATTTTGTATAACAAATATAATATATTTAGCAGACAATGCAGTTTTGTATAATTGTACAAATTATACAAATATATATATATATATATATATATATATATATATATATATATTCTACAAAGCAAAAAATTTATTTTAATACAATTTTTAACAAATTGAAATAAATGTTACTTTTGTTCAGCGCGTTAAAAGTATACTTAATAAACGTAATATGTTATAAAATATAAACATTAAAGTGCTTTAACTAGGAATCATCTGGGATACTAGCTTTATATTACAATCTCAAAATTGACTTTACAAAGGTACCGTTTTAAGCGACGCAGAAGAAAGCATTTCAAGCAAGATTCGTGGAATTTTATTTACAGCCAAGGACAGCGCGAGTCCGCTTGTCAAGCATCTTGAGAGATATCTCGAGAGCCGCGACAAATCATTGCGAAATTAACAGGAAATGCTCGCCGAATTCGGCCCGGGCGACGCGGTGACATAACCTTGATGGTACAGTTGATTATGCGAGAAGCGTGCACTTTTGCGTTTTAATGCGCCAGCGACTTCGAGGGGACTTACCTCGCTTCGAGTGACCATTCTCACGTCCACAATCGGTACAAAACATTAAAAATAGCACGGGCCGTGGGGTTTGGGGGTGATCCGATGATCGGCACGATCACAGGGTCGTCGATAGTGTGCTCGGCGATATTTTAACCGATTTCCCGATGGCGATGTGCCTCGGTCGCGCGAATGTAACAATTCTACGAGACTAAGTAAATTATACACCCTCGAGTGCACGTTTCGTCGTAGATATTAAAAAAAAAGTACGTTTCGAAGCGCCGATTACGAGATGCGAGCGATCATGCTCTCCGGCTTCCGCACGTTGATCGCACGCAGTGAACAGCAGTGAAAACGAGCGAGGCGAGAAAACCTTGTGCTTGCGATGCTACTACCGTTACTGTGATGGCGCGACTGACTCTCTCTCTTAAAGCCCATCCTCACCGAAATCAGTGCGAAGTGTTGAAGGAATCGTTTCAATCGTGCCGTGACGAATCAAATCGTTCGTTTTTGGGAAAACTAGTAGATGATTGGTCACGGTTACGGTTCCTTCTTACCACGTGTAACAAGAATTTCTTGGAAGGAAATATTCTCTAAATAAGAATATTGCTTGAAAAAGTCGGAGAAAATCTTGATTCTTGATTTAAGAAAAAATTATGATAAAAAAAACGAAAAAATTGATAAATTACTCAATAATAAATTAATTTTTATTTGTATAATAATTATTGGAAATTGCCTTAATATCGAACTGCTGTCAAGGAAATTAGAAAACTTTACATTAACTTTATACTTTTATTTATATTAACGAGAATAAACAGATAAATTTATATTAACGAGAATAAACAGATAAATTTAGAAATTTTTAGTTGCGTTCTAAAATCAGTTCTAAAGAGTGAATCTACCTCTCGTAGAGCAACTTTTGCTTTTCGCGATATGTTCCCTAAATTATTTGAGATATAGAAAAATATTTTACAAAAGTTTTTTATAGTAAGAATACATCTATTTAATCACATTAATAAATATTTTTCAAATATTTTTGAAAGAATTTTTTCCCAAAATTATTTTTTCAATGTTTTATTAATGTAGTTAAATAAAGTAGTCTTACGATAAAATTTTTGTATAAAACATTTTTCGAGATCTCAAGATTTTCAAGATGTATCGAGAAAAATAAAAAGTCGTTCTACATGGGAGAAGATTTTAATCCTTAAAATTGTTTTTTTTGACAGCAACTGAAAATTTTTAAGTTCATTTACATATGTATAATTTACCCTTCTATGCGTCGTTTCATTAAAATCAGAATTTTGTAGTTACAGAGGTTCTCTTGTAAGATTAATTGTAAAAGACACTCTATTCTTCTATTTATTTCTAAACTCTATTTATTCTATTTATTTCTTATCGATTGTCATTAAAATTTTTGAAAAAAAAAACAGAAAGTATCATTACGTATCATAAAAAGCAAAATCGATTTATCTTTATCAGATTAAAATTTTTCTTTAGCTACAGCTTTACATAGGGATTCCTAATGGATTGAAATCAGTGAAAGCAGATTTATCAATACATTCTCCTTACATGAGAAATTAAGATTTACCTTAATTTTCCTTTATAATATCTAGACATTCTTCAATAATGTACGATAAATGATGTGATAAATTAGATATACGTATATATTAACTTATGGCATGTGTTTACTTAGGTAGATAGAATGACTTAGGTATATAGAATGACCTCAAATGACGGATTTTAATGACGTTATAATGATGTCATAGTACGTCATTACGACATTTCTAGACGTCATCTTTTCAAAAAATTTGTTGAAATTACATTGATAATTGACACCATAATGCTGAGCTAATAGTAAAAATTCATATAATTATTTTCACAAATTATTGAAATATAATTATAAAATCAAATAAGTGTGTCTTCAGAAATTTTCTTTAATTAAAATCTCAATAATTATGGAAAAAAACAAAAATCACGAACAAAATAGGATTTTCGACCCTTACATTGTTCACAAGTAATACTATATCACACTGTACAATGTATAGGCTGCTTCGACGAGGCACGAGACAATATGTCTACAAGTTCATGCACACGTCGTGCGCAACATTCTGAACGGATAAATTATTTATTTCATTGGACATATTTTAATCGGAAATACTACAGTAGATCAGATATTCAACTTGATCGGAAAAAATACTCTGTTTTCCGATCAAGTGCAATGTCCGATCATATTGTATTAATTTGAACGGATAAATAAATTGTAGTTCATTATCCGTTCGTTATTCCGTATTTCATTGGATAAAGATATTCAGCATTTCATCTGATAGCCCAAAATCCGTTCAAAAACCGATCGGATAAAATGTTCGAACGGTTTTTTTCGTTAGAACTGCTGGATATTTTTCTCAATGAACAGTTTTCTATCGAATAACACACGTGTTTCTTTGAAATATATGATCTTGACATATAATTTGTCATAAAATACATGTATAAATGAAATAATGGTGTATGCACCAGCTATTCATTTTATATATATATATATTCATTGTATTTTATATTCATTGTATTCATTGTATTTTATATGCATTTAACCCTGGACTAAAGTCATTTGTACCATAAAGGTTTCGGTTTGTTTCTTTGTGAACTATAATATATTACCTGCGATCTATTCTAAAACTACCGTTAACTACTCTGAAATTTTTCTAGAAACTTTTAAAAAAAATTTCTTTTAAAAAAAATGTAAAAAAACATTTAAAGAAGCTATTAAAGAAAATATATTTATGAAGAAGAACAATTATAAAAAAAGCTGTGTTATATACAATTATAAAAAAAGCGCGTAGTAAAAATAATAGAAATAAAATTATTTGATGGAGTCACTATATATATATTTGAATTATGTGAATCCCAGCACATTCGTTTTCAGGGTGTTTCTTAATAAGTACGACAAATTTTAGGAGATGATTCTTTGTCGAAAATTAAGAGGAGTTTTTCACATAAATATATACTCCTCTAAAAATGAGAGTTTTTGTTTTTTTCTGAAATTTGGAAACAGTTAAAAACATGAAATTTTTTTCTGAAATTTGAAACAAGTTAAGAAATGAAATGAGGTGGATTAATTATATATATATATATATATATATATATATATATATATATATATATAATTATTACTCCCTTATATATATATATATATATATATATATATATATATATTTGTTTTATATAAAATAGACATATACAGCGCGAATTAATGTGTGGTTTATACAAATACGAGAAATGCAGTGTTTAAAGAATAATCGTAATATAGCAATTTCGTGGACGCGTATTGTCAAATAATATATATGTTGTCTCCTTTATTTCGAGTAGGAAGGGCAATAAAATACGTTGTCATATTCGAGAAGAAGCTAGCTTATATTTTATATATATGTTCGCTTTTCTTCCAGAAGAACGGATTCTGCCTTTACGGCGATAAAAGAGATGAGAGAAAAAAAGGGAGAGTTGTGTATGCATTTTCGGTAACCTTCTCTCTTCTTGGATATAAAGCAACTCTATCACACATGTAGTTTCGCGAGCCCCGTTTCTAATCTTACAGCGTATGCATTATGCATTGGCTGACCCAATGCGTTGTCCGTTTGACCGTATCGAGGCGATGAAAAGTGTTTTTCTTACATAACGTTAGTAGGATGTGTGGGAGTCATTACATTACGAACACAGTTTATATTAAAGAAGAGGGTGGCTTTTCCCTCGACGACGACGGAAGCGGCTCTTTTCCTTTATCCTGTAAATAGATAGCTGGATATGAGAAAATAATGCATGAGTATTGAACATAAAAAGCATAAGAAAAATTTTAAATTTTGAGATACAAAAAAAAACGTTTAAATTTTAAGACAAATTTTGTATGTTAATATAATTGTATCAAATTCTTTTTATTTTTATTTCCCCTCCCCTTATTGTTATATCAATCTATTTATCTATCCGTATATTTATATTATCCATCGAGTAATTTGAGTTGAGGATGATAACACTTATCATTTGAGTAAATCTCAATTACCCTCCGAGTTAAATGCACTTACCTTTCGCTGTTATTGACGTGTTTTCCGAGCTGTCCGTTAGATGGCGATATGTTTCGAGTAGTTTTCCGCGCGAAATCGAAAAGACATGGTTTCTCTCGACTTCTCTCCGGCATAAAGCTTCTCCCCGGTCTTCGGAATCAACGATGCTTAAATCGCGAATGTATGGGAAGTGCCGCCTGTTGCGTTCATTCACGCGGAATTGCAAAAACTAAATTCAACGGAGCCTCGCACGCCTGCGGCGGTTTTCTACGTATGATGCCATTGGAGCAATTTCGTCCAGCATAGGAGCAAGAAGTCTTGATTATCGATTTGTTAGGTATAAAATCTATCTTTATTTCGATTTATCCATCATTGACTATAATAATTAAACGCTATTGTTTCTACGTTATTATCAATTATCATATGTATTATATTAGGTTATGTTATATATTGATAATTAAGAGCAAACACTATCAGAAGAAATTATTATTTCTTCATCAATGAAATTATTTGATATTTATGAAATTTATTGCATATATTTGATGTTTCTTCTTTGAATTTTTGTACTAATACTAGTAATACTAATAATACAATTAATTTTTCTTTTTTAGATGGCAAGTAGTTGAAAATTCTATGTTGAATGTTTTCCTTTTGTCTCCTTATAAGTTGACTACTTGGCTTATCTACAATATTATATATAACATGCAGTATGACATTTTGGGAGATACGTATATGTACAAGTACAAGTTGATAGGTATTTTAAATAAGCATAAATACGTATATGTATAAGTACAAGTTGATAGGTATTTTAAATGAGCATAAATGTTCTCTTTCTATATATATAGAATAAAAATTTTACTTTTAAGAAAACAAAATATTCTGCTTTTTTCCCTAAAGCAAAAACTTTTTTTTCAGAGGAGAAAAGGAGGAATCAAGAGCAAAAGGAAATAAAAAAACAAAGAAAGCATCCAATTAAATAGTCATACCAATTTCTGGTTGAATGTTTGAGTTTACTCTGCAATAACAATTACATGTGGGTAAATTATAATAATAAGTAGTTAAGTCATAAATAAGAATTATATTGTATGATATGTATAAGAAGGTCAGAATCAAGAAATTGTGTTAAATAATTCAAATTCGACGTGTCTCGCGCTCGTTCATTCTCGAATTATTAATATCATGGACGAGCTGTTACACTGTTCCTTTTTGTCGGCAGCTTAATTTGCGTCATTTACCGCAGCGAACGATAAGCATCCTGTGTGTTGTGTGACTCGGCTCGCATGTCTCGTTACCTGCGTTTTACCCCTATGTCCTACATACAAAGTTTTATAAATCATTTATGGTACTT